AGGGAGGGAGCGAGGGGAGTGAAAAGAAGGAAGGATGGAAAGTATCGTTTTGGAACGTGGCGGGATTGGGGAACAAGGACAAGGAATTCTGGGAGAGGGTGAAGAAATAGGAGGTGGTAGTGATGATGGAAACGTGGTTAGAGAAAAAAGATTGGGAAAGATTGAAGGACAGACTACTGAAGGAATATAGATGGAAAGTGTAGATGGCGAGAAGGAGGAACAGGAAGGGGAAGGCGAGAGGGGGGATGTTAATAGGAGTGAGGAAGGACTTAGGGGAGATAGAATTAAAGGAAGAGGAGGAGGAAGTGGAAGGGAGGATAAAAGGGGGAATTATCAAGGAAATATGTAAATGGGTGATCATAGGAGTATATATAAATGGAAATATAAAGAGAAGCTAGAAAGGTTGAAAGTTTGGATGGAGAATGCGGGAGAAAAAAGGAGGGTGGTTGTAGGAGAAGACTTTAACGCGAGGACGGGAAAGAGGGGAGGGTGGTGTGAGGGTGGAGGAAGGGAAGAGGAAGGGGGCAGTGGTGATCGAAGGACAAAAAGGGGAATGGGGAAGATAGAAAATTGCTGTATGTAATAGAGAAGAGGATTCGTGATAATGAATGGGAATGTGGTTGGGGATGAAGAGGCTGAGTTTACGTATACGGGAGGAAATGGGGAGTCAGTGATTGATTATATACTGGGATGTGGGGGGGTATTAAGAGATGTGATAAGGATGGAGGTGAGGAAATAGACTCGGATCATCACCCAGTAATCTTGGAGCTGAAAGGGAAGGTTAGGAAAATGGAAAGGCGGGGAGTGGAAAGAGCGGGGAAATGTAGAGATAAATGGGATGAGGAAGGAAGGAAGAAATTTTAAAGGATGTTAGGGAGGATTCAGGCAGATGGGGAAGGGAGGCAGGAGAAGATGGTGGAAGTGATAGAGAGGATAAAAAGAACTTTGAAGGTATGTAAGGGGGAGGATGAGAGGGTTAAAGAGGGGAGAGGGAGGAGAGGATGGTGGGATGGGAATTGTAGGAAGAAGAAGAAGGAGGTAAGAAGAGAGTTGAAAAGGTGGAGGGGAGGGGGGGCAGGAGGCAAGGTTGGATATAAGGAAAGGAAGAGAGAGAGTATAAGAGGCTTTGTAAGAGGAAGAAGAAAAAGGAAAGAAAGAGGATAGAAAGGGAGATAATGGAAGCAAGGACAGAGGAAAGGGTTTGGCACTTGATGAAAAGAGAGCGAGGAAGGCTGTAGGAAATTAAAATGGGGGAATGGAAGAAATACTTCATGAGGGTGATGGGGGAGTAGAGGAGAAGGTGGTAAGTGGAGGAAGGAGAGGTGGAGAAGGAAGAAATAGGATGGGAGGAGATAAACGAGGTTATGAAGAAGTTGAAAGATGGGAAAGCAACGGGGTTAGATGAGGTACCGATCAAAGTATGGAAATATGGAGGGGGAGAGGTGGAGAAGTGACAATGGAGAATGTGTATGGAAAGGTATTGAGAAGAGTGGGATGTCCGGAAGAGTGGAAGGAGGGGATGGTGATACCGATAAGGAAGAAAAAGAATGATGAAAGCGTAGAGGATTATAGAGGGGTAACATTGTTGCTATCATTATATAAGGTATGTAACGGCCTTGCGTTACGTGCGGGATAGTCTTAGTCGGTGCGGTCGGAGGTTTTGTTCGTTAAATGAAAAGCAGTGGTGTAGGTTATAATAACGTGGAACTATATTCTAATCTCAAGGCTATTTACAATTATTTACATGCGAAGTTACGCCGCTGGCGCGTGGTCGCGTTTTTGCTCTCGCCGGGAGTCGATGTTGTCGTCGCGCGATCAGCTGCGAGCGTCGAGACGCGCGAGTGTCCGGCGGAACGCGGTCGGGAATGTTTCCCGATATGCTATTGTCCGTCGTTGGAGTTCGTTGACTCGTCGGCTTTAAGCTGCTTGCTTACACCGGCTTTTAACCTGGCTGGTTTAAAGGCGCTCGTCGTCACCGGGTATCTTACGCTCTGTACGCGTTCGCGATCTTATGTGTTCGCGGCGTGGCGTGAGGGACAGGAGGTCGACGTCGCGTATCCACTTCGGTCGGCGGAGCGGTATCGGAGAAAGGATGTCGACGTCGCGAATCCACTTTGGTCGACGGAGCGGTGTATGGATAGGAAGCCGACGTCGCGTATCCACTTCGGTCGGCGGGGCGGTGTCGGAGAAAGGATGCCGACGTCGCGAATCCACTTTGGTCGACGGAGCGGTCTATGGATAGGAAGCCGACGTCGCGTATCCACTTCGGTCGACGTAGCGGTCTAGGATCTCTGGGAGGTTGCAAGCTTTTGATCGGTTGTGTCTCCGGGGAGCTTCTCGATCAATCTCTCTCGATCGCGTTTTCGTGTCGGCTTTTATACTAATTTGTAACAAACAGCGAGGCTGTTTGTTGCCCTTGCGGTTGTTTCGCGCGCGGTTGTTCGGCGCTAATTTTGTTAGTCTAAATAACGTTTCTTACGTATCTACTCTTCCGGTTGTCTTTCGTGACGATCCTTTCCAAGGATCGTCACAGGTATATACGGCAGTTTTAGCGGAAAGATTAAGGGAAGAAGTGGAAAGAAGGGGGTTGCTATCAGAGAGTCAGGCGGGATTTAGAGAGGGAACGGGAACGGTGGATCAAATATATATGTTAAATTATTTAATAAATAGTTGGGAAGGGATGGAGGAAAAATGGTAGCATTTTTTATTGATTTGAAGGCGGCATTTGATTCGGTAAAGAGGCAGAAGTTGATAGAGGCAATGAGGGAGAGGGGAGTGACAGAGGGCTTAGTGGTAAAAGTGAAGGAATTGATGATAGAGACGAGAAGTAGGGTGAGGGTGGGAGAGAAAGTAGGGAGGAGATATTGGACGAGTAGGGGATTGAGGCGGGGGTATCCGTTGAGTTTGGTGTTATCCAACATTTTGTTAGCGGATCTAGAGGGAATAATGAAAAAGCGAGGCTGGGAAGGAGTGAGGATAGGAGGAGAAAAATACTACACACTGGCGTATGCGGATGATGTGGTTCTGACGGTGGAGGAGGAAGAAGATATGAAGACGATGATAGGGCGGTTGGAGGGGTACTTAGATAGGAAAGGGTTAGAACTAAATGCGAGCATGTCGAAGATTATGAGGTTCAGGAAAGGAGGGAGAGAGAGAAGGTATGACAGGATGTGGAAGAGAAAGAAATTGGAGGAGGTAAAGGAGTTTAGATATTTAAGATATATGTTGAAGAGAAATGGAGGACAGAAAGCGCAGGTAAGAGATAGGAGAAGGAGGACATCGGTGCTGATGAGGTTTAGGGAATAGGGAAGAGAGTATGGGGGAGAGATTGGAAAAGAAGGTTATGGCTGTTCGATAGATTACTGTGGATAGTGATGGGATATGGAGCGGAGATTTGGGGAGGGAGAGGGAGGAGTTGGAGAAAGTTCAAGAAATAGTTTGTGAAGTGGACAATGAGAGTGGAGAGAAGAACACCGAGGTATATGATAAGGGAGAAGGTGGGAAGGGAGAAGATGAGTGGGAGGGCAGGGAAGAGGGCTTGGGATTTTGAGAGGAGACTGGAGGAGGGAGGAGAAGGGGTAGCGACAAGAAGATATTGGAAGGAAATGAGGAAGAGGTGGAAAAAGGGCAAGATCGTGGGAGGCTCGGAGAAAGAAAGGAAATTGTTTATTGAAAGAAAAGGTTTAAGTGTAGGGGAAGAGGAGGAGATGGAATATGAGGAATTGGAGGGGGGGGGGGAGAGGGGGAGGAAACGAAAGTCCACGCGATAGGTTAAATTAGATTAAGTTAGATATGAAAGTTAGGTATAAGTTAGATGTAAGATTTAGGTGTAAGATTAGAGGTAAAAGGTAGGTTGCGGACGTGTGTGTGCGTAGCGAGGCAAAGAGTTGTATAAATATTGTAAGCCCATATTGGGGATCAATAAAGGACATATACATACATATTTGTAAATAGAAATATTTACAAAATATTACTACAAATATTTATTTTTTGGGAAGTTTGCGTCCCGATTGCCGACAGTACAATTGACCACAAATTGTAATGATTGGTTCGATCTGGTAATTCACTAGATAATTCTTATCATCGATTGGTTTGTGTGCAATCGTACTGTAGGCAATCGGGACGCTCCCTTATTTTTTGTTTATATAAATATTGTATAAAATATTTAGCCTACATTTTAATAATATTTTGAATAAAGATTTTGATACTTTTTCCCTTTATGTTCTTAAAATATTTATAAAATATTTATATAATATAAAAAAAGGTAATTTGTCATAAATATTTATGAATCTTTATCATAAATATTGTGTGCTGTCTGGAAAATTCCTCTATTTTTTTAATTTACTATTTATTATTTTTATTTATGAGAAAATAACTATTTTTAAAAAGCTCTAAATTTATATATTTTTAAAACGGAAAATCACTAAAAATTTTGAAATTTAGTCACAGTTTTACTTGATATTACTGAAATTTAAAGAAACAATTTTTTGTCGCTGTTATAATGTCATAAAGTCTCTCAAAATCGTCTTTCTTGGTCATTTCACCTCTTTTCTCCCAAAATGGTAAAGTCAAATTTGGACAATGTATTCAATATATTCAGTGGCCGAAGATATGCTGGATATGAATATTTGTACTTGTGTTGCAAAAAGATCACAATTTGTCGGGCTGTGTTATTTATTGATTTCGATTATATGGTTTGTTTATTAAAAAAAATAAAGTTGACTTAACAGAGAATTTCAATATTATTATGTAATTATATATTTTTTCAAGATCATTATAAGCCTAAATAAATATTATCATAAAACATTATCATGTTTTTTTCTAGAAATCCTGGAACTTTTATCCGTGACATTTTTTGATATCGTACTTACTTTCTAAGATATATTACAATTTATCGTTAAACTTATTGCATATAATCATCTTTTATTAGAATGATAAAACTCTTATTTTGCTACGTTATTCAACACAATATTTATCTAAGCAATTTATATACGATGTAGGTAAAGATTGGCAGTGGATGCCCGAATCAAGGAACAGTACATATCTAAAAATTCTAAAGCGTTTTGAAGACAAAAGGGCTGCTGCTTTTTCCATTCATCAAATTGCATTGATGGGAGCGTCCGAAGGAAAGGAAGTTGGACAATGGTTTGGTCCTAACACAATTGCACAAGTATTAAAGTATGTATTTTGACGAAATTTACATTATATTAAGTCAAGTTATCTGCAATGTATCTCGAACAAACTTTTCACATTTACTTAAAAGTCATTCTTAATAATTTTGGTAATTATGCGTATATTAAGATACTTTACTGATGATATTAACTTTCACATATGTTGTTATATATAAAGATATGATCTTGAATATAATCTTTAAAAATTCTTAGCCAATGGTCATTGTTTGTAAAAATAATTATTAAGAAAAGAAGTTTTGAGACATAATAATAAACGTTAATATTGAAGAGAGAGAATATAATTGTCTAATGTGTATATTAGGGTAATAGGTTTGATGCGTCGATATGTAGCAGGCGTTTAGTATATGAAGGGTGGAAAGACAGACCAATAACTTTTAACCAAAAAACGCGGCACATCCGCGTGTCCTCTCCGCAAGATTCACCGTGCGGTTTTCCCCTTCGACCTATCGAGTCATAGTCTTGATGGTGTTGTGACGGTGCAGCCGTGGAGGCGTCCGTCTCAAGGAAACCGTACCGGATTTGTGTGTGAGTGCTTTCGCTTATCGCGTCGCTGACGGTTTTCGCGAATATTCTCGAATACCGCGTTCCGGCGTGTGTTTGTTTGTGACCGTCCTTAGGACAAATATCGGAAGCGAATGTTGCGAGCGGAGCAGATGTGAAGGTCAGCGCATCTCCAACTTTGTGCCCCCCCCTCTCCCCCGACTTCCTTGGCCGGCCACCCGGACTGGAGGAACAGAGAACATCGAAGGACTAGAAAACAGCGACCGACAACTCAACACCACTTAAGACCAGGTGAATCGCTCTCTCATTATTTCATATTACATTATGTCGGATTATCGCTCGCTCAATATTCGTGAATCTCATACCGCTGAGAATATCCCGAAGTAAGAAACAGTATCGCAAGTAGGCAGTATTCTGTCAGCGGTGTTTACTTTCAGCGAACGCAGCCGTCATGAGAGCCTAGGAGGAAAAAACGGGAGCGCCAAGACAGCCAGCGAGATGATCCGCGACGTCAACAATGTCTCGAGACAGGAACCGTCTCGAGACCATAATAGCGATAGATACCGATTCCCGACTGCGAAATATCGCAGGACGAGGGGAGAAGAGACGCAGGAGGACTCGCTAAGCTATGCGATCCTCCAAGAGCCGAAAGCGAGCAGCCTGACCGCGACCGTCGCCGTGAGCTGATTACCGCGCCGAAGCTACGACTTCCGTATCGTGTGTGCCGACCGCGGTTGAGAGAGAGAGCGAGAGGAGAGAAAGAGTGGACGGAGCGCGTGCAGCGAGAGGGCGAGAGCAAAGAGAGAGTAGATAGAGCGCGTGGAGAGAGAGAGTAGATAGAGAGGAAGAGAAAGAGAGGACAGTCATCGCCGCCGCCGCAGCTGACCCCAGGGCCGCCTCCGATCTTTGTAAGACCACCCATCTATTCCGTAGTTCGTCCGATTGTCGAAATTCATGTCGTTATCGCTCACGTACCGTGTCTCGTCCGCGGAGCGGCCGCGCGTGTTAAGGCTCACCCGAGGAGACCGGCCTCGGGTTTCTCATTTAGCAAGCATAATGTCGTGTCGCGAGTAACGCCTGTTTTGTGCTAAAAATTACCGAGTTTCCTTTATCGGGACGAGCGAGAGTCACGCAAATAAACGTATTGTTACCGAAACGAGTAGAGTCATTTTAACCCTCTCCTAACCCATCCCGTCTCCGACTTGAAATCTTGCGAGCTACCGGTCCCGACAGTTCCGGAACACGCGACTTTCGTGGTACATATCGAATCTCGCGTTTACCGAGGTGGTGCGGCCTTTTCGCACCTGGCGCCAAACTATCGTTCGCGTTTTCGTGGCGTGACTCTGAGCCGACGGCAAATTGACGACGCGGCTGAGAGGCGACTGTCTGCCGTCGCTCGCGAAATAATTTAGCGAGTCTCGTCGCAGTGTATAGGATACGTCACAAACCATTGTCGCGGCTATAGAGTCTTCGACGAATCTGGGATTAATTTTGAAAGGTTCCTTGAATTTTTTATCAAATTTTGTTTGATTTTGTCCGGAACACTTAAGAAATACAAAATCTCCTATATTGAATCGTTTTACGTTCGTCTTTCTAAAATGAGTCATTTCCATACGATAGCTAATCGTTCGATGTTTTCCGAAATATTTGCTCGAATTTCGCCTACGTTAAAACGTTTAGGTTCTTCGCGGTTTTTTCTATCTTTATCATTCCTAAAGATTGAACTTGCACACTAAACATCAGTTCAATCAGAGTAGTCAATGGCTTTACACTACTATTCGGAGCCAGTTCTACTTCCCCGAGTTCCTTCATCCATATTTTGTTAAAGTCACTTTCGACTATTGTTAACTAGCTTTTTAATATCTGCATAACCCTTTCAATTTGTCTGTTAGCTTTACTTGCAGTAGCTATGAGATGCAAATCTATGTTATTATTTTTACAAAAATGTTTGAATTCAGAACAAGTAAAACAACAACCTTGGTTACCCAGGTAGTAAGATGACATCTAAAGACGTCATTAAAATGTCATTAAGACGTCATAGACGTTTTAATGACGTCTTTAGACGTCACCTTGCTACTTGGGTTGTTATTTTAGCTCCGAATAAATAGCAAATTCAATGATTCCTACACTCATTAAATTGAGCGTAAGTGTATACTTTAACAATTTGGTGAGTGGATTGATAATTATAGGGTGTCTCAGATTACCTTCACAATCTCTCGTAAGGACGTAGAGACAAATATCCTATATCATTTTGCGATATTCTCAATAATAACCGAGAAATTAATTGTAAAAGATTAAGAAAAAACGCACGCTGAATAGTTGAGGGAGGAACACTCGCGACCCAGTAATATGGCAGGCAGATGCCAGCGAGCGGCTTATATCGCTACAATCCTATGTCTTGCTGCACCGCGCCGAGGGGAGATGTAGGAGTGCAGCGATATAAGTATAGGCAGTAGTGCGTTGTTTTCAATTACCACGCGCCGATATCCGTGTGCTATATTATTAGGCCACGAGCGCTCCTTTCTCAACCATTCAATGTGCGTTTTTCCTTAATCTTTTACAATTAAATTCTCGGTTATTATTGAGAATACTGTAAAACGGTGCCAGGAAGCTCTATGTTTTACCAGGAAAGTCTATGTTTTACCAATTTGAAATAATGTTAAAGATTTGCGGATCATATTGTTGATTGACAGTTAACCATCTACATTGAAATTCGACAATTTGAATATTTTTTGTGTTGGGTCTCTTTGTAGCTATCGGAGAATTCATTGTATGAGTAGTGATGGAATTCGGGAGTATTTCCGAAACAATCTGCATGTGCCATGTTATATAATATCTGATCATATTCATAGTCAAAATCATAACTATGGAGTACAACCTATTATTGATGAACTCTGGGAGTCAGGTCGCGTTTGGCGCGAGTAGATATACAAGGGGGATTCTAACATAGGTCCTCTCAGAGGGTGCGGGACGAGAGGGAACTGCGGGCGCGGGAGCTGACGTCACGTAGGGCAAAGGGGAAATTATCGACGTTACCGACGTTTTTTTACCGACATTTTTTACCGATATATTTATTTACCGGTATTTTTACCGACATATATACATATTTATTTATTACCGATATTTTTACCAACATATTTATTGCTGGTATTTTTACCGACATATTTATTTATTACCGGTATTTTTACCAACATATTTATTTGTTACCGATATTTTTACCGACATATTTATGTATTACCGGCATATTTGGCATAATTTTTATCGACTCTGCGATCTGTTTTTTACCGACATTTTAGGTGTACAACTTCCGCCGTTTTCCTATAGATAGCTTTAGCAGTAAGTGGTGGTCGAAATAAATAGATCATAGACGTCATACAATAAACTTGGGCATCTGTCAACATAACTCCATAGAAACATTAGTCGATTTGTGTCTGCATCATAAAGTTATTCTTGATTGAAAATGTCAGTTTACGAGCCAAATTCTCGTCATTTGCGGAAGGTTTTAATTTTCTGCTTCAATATGAAGAAATCTGCGGCTGAGGCTCATCGAATGTTCTCAAATACTTATGATGAGGCCGTTAGTAGAGAAAGAACATGTCGTAAGTAGTTTCAACGCTTCAAGAACGGTGATTTTGATGTCGAAGATCGGCATAGCGGTGGAAAAGAGAAGGTTTTGGAAGATGCAGAATTGGAGGCATTATTTGATCAAGACTCGTGTCAAAATCAAGAAGAATTGGTACGATCATTGGGAGTGACTCAACAAGCCATTTCAAAACGCCTCAAAGCCTTGGGAATGATTCATAAGGAAGGAAATTGGGTGCCGTATTGAAGCCGAGAGATGTTGAACGGCGTTTGTTTGCTTGTGAACAGCTGCTTGAAAGGCAAAGACGGAAAGGATTTCTGCATCGCATTGTGACTGGGGACGAAAAATGGGTTCATTACGATAACCCCAACCGCAGAAAATCATGGGGAGTTCCCCGGCCATGCTTCCACGTCGACGGCCAAACCGAATATTCACGGCTCCAAGGTCATGCTCTGTATTTTGCGGGACCAGCTCAGCGTAGTGTATTATGAGCTGTTAAAACCGACTGAAACAATCACAGGCGATCGGTATCGAATGCAATTGATGCGTTTGTGCCGAGCATTGAAAAACAAACGGCCGCAATACAACGAGAGACACGATAAAGTGATTTTGCAGCATGACAATGCTCGACCCCATGTTGCGAAAGTGGTCAAGACATACTTGGAAACGTTGAAATGGGAAGTCCTACACCACCCGCCGTATTCTCCAGACATTGCTCCCTCTGACTATCACTTGTTTCGATCAAAGGCATACGGCCTGGCTGACCAGCACTTCCGGTCTTATGAAGAAGTAAAAAATTGGATCGATTCGTGGATCGCTTCAAAAGATAATCAGTTTTTTCGACGCGGGATTCGTACGCTACCCGAAAGATGGGAGAAAGTAGTGGCCAGCGATGGACAATA